CCATACGTCCTTTCTAACCTATATAATGGCGGATTCGGTCATGACATGGAACTTAATATACTTCGTCCGACAGCTCACCAGCATCCAACTGGTGTTTCATCTGCATGATTTGCGAACTTATGGCAGCTTTCTGACGATGTTGGAGACCGTCGCCAAATTCTGCGGCATTACGTCATGTTGCTTTTGTCCTCTTTCTTTTTACACAGAAGACTCTTCCGAAATTGGTGGCCAGTCTGTGAGATTAGTGCTTTGTGGACGTGTTTGGAAGCAAAGACAAATGAATTTGTTGGATATTCTTTTCTTGAAAATCACTTATAAAGTTGTCGTAACATTTGTACTTCCTACTTTGTTTCATTACATTGCACTTTTATATCTTAATAGCGCGCCTTAGCATATCTCCGTTTTTTACCATCGTTTTATTTTTATGGTGACTAAGAAACTGGGTATTCTTTATTCGTCTTTCCGTTCACAGTGATGATAAATCCAGTTCTGGACGTTCGCGTGATGAGAACATTAATAAGGACAACTTTTTTGTTGTGTTTACACACCCGCTAATGACTGACGGAATGATGGATATTCCTGACTTTCCGGCTAGTAAACCTACGATTCCAGTGATCGCACGTTCATATGCTTCAGAACAAACAACGTGGTCTCCAATAGAGAAGAATATCCGAGTTCCAGTGATCGCTTCTTCTTCTTCCGAACGTGGTCTCGTTTATGTGACTCTATTCGTCATGCACAATAACCTTTAGGGACCAGTTGGCTACTGTTACTTATTTTCCCAGGGCCTCGAATTAATCGCCAGTATACCCTGACCACGTTGTTGATTGGATTTTTTAATGGAATATATCCAAGAGAATCACTCGATCTTACTGGAAAGAACGTGTATGAATTCCACCGGCATATTTGGTGCATCCACTAAACGGACAGCGTTGTATCAAAAACGGGACGGAATGCCGTATTCAAGTTGTGCCCCAATAAAAAGTACCGTAAATGGGAGGGGGGCTTGGTGGCACACATAGGGTTGGCTTCGGCCGCGCTAGCT